GGGGGGGGGGACTACAGGGTGACAGCATGACTCCTGGCAGAGGACAACAGAATGACAGCGTGGCTCCTGGGGGTGTGCAGTTGCAGGGTGACAGTGGTGCTTTGGGCTTGGAGACTTCAGCCCTGGGCTCCAGGTGGAGCGTCCCATCTGCATGTCCTGGAGGCCACACCTGTGGCGTGATGGCTGCCAGCCTGCCAGCTGTGGATGGACGGACAGACGGCTGGTTTCCATCCAGCAGCTCACATCTGTGTTTGTCACAGCGAGACGGGGACGGAGCCCCAGTCGCGTGTGGGTGGTGACATCTCCATGGTTCCGGAGGAAGTAGCCACAGGCCTCTGCACAGACCTGGGAAGTGCACGCGTGGGGGCGGGGCGGGGCGGGGGCGGAGCGAGCGAGCGGAGGGCGGAGTGTGTGCTCAGCCTGGCGTCCTGAGAAGCAGGGCCCGCCTCTGGCTGTGGCAGCCAGAGGCCCTGGGGCGCCTTTCCTCCTTCTGCTCTGCCCGCAGCCCCAGGGCCCAGGACACCCGCTGTGTGCTGGGCACCACTGTGCCTGCCCTCCGTGTCCCCGTGCTGTGGACTCGGGGCATCGTGACTGCTCCCGCCAGCCGGGTGTGAGGTGACCCTCCCTGACTTCCAAGGCGGGTCATCGAGGGCCGCTTTGCTGGGTCTGCACTCAGAGCCCTGGCGCCTGGTGCCCGGGCTCTGAGGGTGATTTCAGCCACCGTCAGCAGCCGCAGTCCTGCTTGAGGTCCCTGATACAGTGGACACAAGCATCCACGTGTCAGTTGTTAAACTGTGGGCCGATTTGCTAAAGGGCATTTTTTTAAAAAGAATGATCAAATTTTCCCCAAATAATCCAATTTTACGGCAATTTTAATTAAAAACATGTTTTAAATTTTTTACCACTTAAACTAATACTAAAGTTAACATGAGGGCAAGGGGATGCCGCTAAATAGCTAAAAGTAGCCAAAATAATTCTGAATCGGCCCGAGGTGGGAGTGCCCCCCCTCCCCTGGCTGCAGGCTCCTTGGGGAGCAGTGAGGGCAGGGGGACGGGTGCAGGGCGGGCAAGAGCTGTGGAAGGACTGAATGCAGCTGGGGACTGGCTCTGAGCCACAAGGCCATGTGTGCGTGAGAAAATGGCACTGGGTCCCCCCCCCCCCCTCCCCGCAGGAGGATAGTGTTTCAGTTGTGTTACTGAGTAAAGGGAGAGGGCTGAGCTCTAATAATGCTGAGGCTAAAATACTGGAGGGTGTTGTCTGTAGCTCTGGGGCAGGGAGTTACCTTCAAGAGACGCAAAAAGTGTCACCTACAAAAGAAAGGATTGTGAAATGCGAATGTTAAACAACGTTAACTGTTTACCAAAAGACCCTGTAAAGGAAGTAAATGGTTAGCTACTCCTGGGAAAGACACCTGCGGCACACCTTGGTGACCAAAGCCCTTACTTACCTTAAGGAGCTTGGCGGGGGAGAGCGGCATTTCCAGAGGGGGGGGGGGTGCCCTGCTGGTGCGCAGCAGGCTTGCGGAAGGAGGCCCCCCTCTCCAGCCGCGCCCAGCCCTGCGCCCCTGCCCCCCACCTCATTCCCCGCCCCATGTCCCCGCTTCTCCCCTATGTCCCGCCCCTGGCCCTGCCTCCCCGGGCGTCCACCCCGCCCCTTATCCCCCCCCCGCGCCCCATGCCCCGCCCCCGAGGTGTGCCCCTTCTGCCAACACCCCTGGGTCCTGGGGAGGCTGTCCTGTTCTTTCTACCCCTACCCTTGCTTGCCATATGTGACCCGTGTTGCCATTTTTTGCTTTAAACTGGTACCTCTTATAAAGATTAGAAGGGAGAGAAGGTGCCCTTTATCTTGACCACTTTGTCTATGGCTTTCTGTGCTCTGCCCGCTCTCTCGAAGCCTCGGTTTCTGTCTGGTACCATCTTCCTTCAGCCTGAGAGCTTCTGTGACATCCATCTTAACACGAGTCACTGGTGACGAATTCTCTCCGCTTTTGTTTGTGTGAGGAAAGCCTTTGTCTTCGCTCTTGAAAGATGTTGTTGTTGTAGCTGGGACTGCGGCTTGCCCGCGCTTCTCTGTTAGCACTTAAAGGACATCATCGCCTTGTCTTCTGTGTCCTGTTGTTTAGAACGGGCCTTAGCCATTGTCCCCGTCTTAATTTTCGGTATATAATGTGTCTTTTTTCCCTGACTGTGGCATTTTGTCTCCCCGGATGGTCTGCAGCAACTTGATTATGTTGTATTTTAGTTTGATTTCCCTTGTGTTTGAGCTTTTTCAGTGGGTTTATAATTCTAATCATATTTGGGAAAAGTTTGCTCGCCACTTTCCTGTTTTTCTTCTTCCCTTCTCTTGGGTCTCTGACTCGGCTTTCCTGGGGTCGGCCTGTCTGTCACCACCCAGGGCCCCTCTGCCCCTTGAGCTCTTTTTCCTCCGACATTTTCCAGGCTCTTTGCTTCAGTTTGGGTCATTTCTGTTGCTGTGTGTTGTAGTCACGGATCTCTTCCTTATTTATTTTCTTAGGTTTTAACCTGCCCTTAGGTCCACCTGGTGAGTTCTGTTTTCAGCCTGAGAAGTTTAATTTGTGGTTTTCACGTTTGCTTTTCCTCATATTCGTGCTTTCCTTGAAATCTTTGATTGCATGGACAGCCCCTGCTTCAGGGGTGTTTTCGGCTGACTTCTGTCCATCCAGGTCTGTCTCTGCAGGTTGTAGGTTGTATTTTTTTGCTTCTCTGCACACTAAGTTAATTTCTGGCGTGACGCCAGATGTTCCGAACATCGTGTGGTGTGTGTCTGCACCTTGCTTCCTGCCGCGAACACGGTGGAGGCTGCGGGGGGGAGGGGTGTGAGCCCTCCAAGGCACATAGCCTCTTCCCTTCTTCCATTTGGCTTCTTGGGGCCCGAACCCCTCTTCTGTCTGACCCCCGTGCTGGCTGGTCAGATGGCTACGTAGGTGCCCCCTTCCCTGCTGCTGCGGAGCTGGCGGGAGGGTGGGGGGGCCCTCGGCCGGGGGGCCGGCAGGTGAGCAGGGAGGCCCCCCTCGCTTCCCGGCGTGGCTCTGGTGCATTCTCGGGGCTCTGGGTGCACAGTGGCTCCCTTCCAGCCACACGTGCTGAGGTGACACGTGGGTGCCCTCCTAAGCCTTTTCTGGCTGGGAAACGAGGCAGGGAGGTGACCAGGAAGCCCCTCTGACGAGGGGTGTTAGAGACCCTTCCTCCTTCCTGTCGTAAAGCCTCTGGGGCAGGCCGCTGATGCTCAGCTTTCCTCCTGGTGGGGGGACCTGCCTTGGTCCCGGGGGCGTGTGGACTCCGGCCTGCTTCTCCGTTAGCACAAGACACAAACAGCCAGGAGAGCCCACAGAGTTTGGGGTTGTGCCGCTGCGGCGTGCGGCCCTGGCCAAGCTCCCAGTGTCCCCCCACCTCCACGTCTCTCTCCCCGAGAGGCCTCTGGGTCCTGTGCATCTGTCGGGTGTCGGGGGGGCCGCAGCTGACGACATGGCCCGACTCTACCTGCACACAATGGGTTTGGGTTTCTGCCGCCCTTCCTTCCTCCCACCACTGCTTGGTGGCGTTTTTGGGGTGACGTACGACACGGTGTTCAAGCCAGTAGCCTGGGTCTGGCAGCAGCTTTTTGGGTGGCTTTTGTACCAAAGAAACTCCCTGTTTTCCTTCTAGAGAGCTGTTGTCAAGTGACGCCATGAAGGAGTACAACAGGGCTCGCGTCTACCTGGACGAGAACTTCAAATCCCAGGAGCATTTCACGGTGCGTGCCCTTCTGCTGCACGGAGTCGGCCCGGGCCGTGGCCTGTGGGATGGTGATCGCAAGTGGGGGGCTCTTCGCAGAGGCGAGGGATTAAGCTGATCCCTGGATCTGCTCCGCAGAGCTCGAGTGACGGAGGCCCGTCCCTCTGTGGGCCCAAGCAGCCCACCCCGGGGGCCTGGCCTGTCCTGCGACAGTCCTTGGCCCGGGGGTCAGCGGATGCCCGGAAAGGGGGCCCCGCTGGGGTGCAGCGGCTGTGGGGGGTACAAGGTGCTGGGGAGGCTGGAGGCTTCTCGGAGGAGCAGACGTCAGATGGGTTTTGAGTCGCCGGTTGTTGGTTCGAGCGACTGAGGCATCTCACCCCCCCATCTCTGGGGAGGGCTCAGAGCTGCCTCGTCAGCTTAGTTTCCTCCGGCTTCCGTTCCTGGCGTCCTTCACCTCACCGCTGTCGTGTTGCCAGGAGCCTGGTATGCAGCAGGCGCTCGGCCGTCGCGTGCTGGTCGCATGGGGCGGTGGGTGCTGGTGTGCCGAGAGCAGGCGGGGCCGGGGAGCTGTGTCCTGCTCAGGGAGCGACACTAGAGATGGCCCTGTGGTTAGAAAGGCATCTGTCCGTTCGCGGCCTCTGAATTCAGGGTGTCTGTGCCAGTTCGGCGGTACCTTCCTTGGCTGAGATGGTCACCGTCACGTGCCCATGGGATCCCCCGTGCCCCGCGCCTGCTGTCCTCGGGCACCCCTGCCCCCCTCCACACTCACGCGTGGCCTCTCCGCCACCTGTGTCAGCCACATCCCGGCGCAGGCACGCCCCGTGCAGGCCGCCGCAGCCCCGTGCTGCCTCTGCCTTCCTGCCCTGGGCCGAGGGCCGCTGGCTCTCAGCCCGCCCTGGACAGGAGAACACTCTTCTCTTGACCCTCACGCTTCCCTGTGCCGGGACCCTGCTTCCTGCTTCTGCCATCAGGACTGGTTCAGATGGAGTCACGGCAGCTCTGATGGAAGCTGCGTTGGTTTGGGGCGAGCGGAGGGCCGGGCACCGCGGAGGGGAGGGGACAGCAGTTGAACTCGCAGCCCTGGCAGTGGGAAGCACTCACAGTAAATGCGGAAGGCACTGCCGGGACATCACTGTGGGGTAGGGCGTCCAGGGGTCTGGTGTGCGCGTAACTGGAGCCCCAGGATGAGAGGGAGCAGGAGACAGCAGGCCCCTAAAGAAATGGCTGAAATTTTTCAAACTGGACGAAACGTGTGGGTGCGTAGAACCAGTCGTACGACAAGGAGCGCGGCAGGGGTCAAGGGGCCCTGTGCACAGACGAGGGCGTCAGTCCCTCAAGAGGACACAACCGCGTGGGCTGCGAGTCCAGCGTCGGAGCTTGCACACGTGCACGGCCGCTGGCAGCTGGGAGGACGGAGCCGTGGCAAGCATGGGCTTCGACACCGCCTCTCACCGACCGATGCTGCCCGCCAGCGTGACCCTGCCGCCCTTGGCGGGACGCCGATGGGAAGGGCAGCCGCGTGACAGATTGAGTGGCACAGGGCGTTCGGGGAGGGGGACCCACGCGCAGCCCTCCCCCCGAGGAAGCACAGAGGCCGGAGCCCATGCTCTCCCCGCTGGAGGACCTTGCTGTCCAGTTGGTGCATTGAAGTACTTCATGGTCGTGTCACACCTAGTGTGTTCTTTGGTGCATAGGTTTTCTTTTTTTTTTATCAACGTTTTTTATTTATTTTTGGGACAGAGAGAGACAGAGCATGAACGGGGGAGGGGCAGAGAGAGAGGGAGACACAGAATCGGAAACAGGCTCCAGGCTCCAGTCTCCGAGCCATCGGCCCGGAGCCTGACGCGGGGCTCGAACTCACGGACCGTGAGATCGTGACCTGGCTGAGGTCGGACGCTTAACCGACTGCGCCACCCAGGCGCCCCTAGGTTTTCAGACTTAAAGTGTCTGAAGCCAGGGAGCACCCAACATCCGTGGCATCTTAGTTGAGATGGGCAGTGCTTTCCTCTCTCGGTCATAAATACAGAAACGTCACGTTAGCCGGAGACATGGCCGTGCTGCTTGGCGGGAGCCTCAGACCGGGCTGGAGCATGGCATCCGGCTGGGGGGACTGGCCAGCTCGGGGCGCAGAAGGAGCCGCCGGCACACTGCATGGGGTGCGGCTCAGGTCTGCGCCGCTGAGGCTGTGTCTGCAGGTGTCGCAGGACCGGATGGGGTCGGGGGAGGGGCCGGGAGGCCTGGCCTGCCTGCAGCGGCTGTGGGCGCATGGCGGCCGGTCCTGGGGCGTCTGCACAGTGCTGTGGAGCGGCTTTCCCTCGGGTGGGGGCGGGGGGTGCACAGCGGGGAGGTGAGGGCTCCCCTCCTGCGGCCGCAGTCCTGGGTGAGGTGTGCTGATGGCCCCCGGATAACTGGACAGCCGTGTTTAGCGGGTGGGGAATGGACGGTGGAGCTCTAGACGTTGGAGCGCATCCCAGAGTTGGCACAGATGTCCGAGTGTGTGTGATCCTGCCTCGTGACCGTGATGCTGATGGTTGGCGATAAAATCCTGTTTGACCCTGGGGCCCCTGGAGCACCTCTGTGCCCTTCCGTCGCCCCCCTCAGTGTGCCGTGGGTGGAACCATCGTTGCTGGGGCCTCCGGACGTCCCGGTCGAGGGGACCCTGCACGCCCAGGGTCCTGGGTAGGGCTGGGCTACACTGGCCAGCTGTGTGGCCACTCTCCCACCCCAGCCTGGTGGCCTCTGCCTGTCAGACGGAGGAAAATTTAATTTTTACAAGATTAATGGCATTGGAGCAGTATTTTTAGCTGAGTGTGGTTCAAATAATAGGCCATTAATTGAAAAAGGAAATTGAAATGAATTTATCTTGTACATAAATGCTGTCACAGGTATTAATAGGGATCAGAAAATAGTGGCCTGTTCCCAGAAAGAGGTTGAGCCTGAAGCTGCACCTGGTGTATGAACATGACCGTGGGGGTTTGCTCTGCACACAGAAGCGTGGGGGCTGTGGCCTGGAGTGGGGGTTGGGCCTGGGGGTGGGCTCTGGGCCTGGGGTGGGTCTGAGCTTGGGGAGCTGCGGCCTGAGGGGGCCTCTGGGCCTGGGGGACTCAGCCTGGGGGGGGGGGGGGCTCCTGCCGACTGCGTCCGGAGCCCACCGATGCCCCTGGTCACCAGAAGATGGCGCCAAAGCAGCATTTGGTGTCAAGCTTTTGGTTCAGGAGATGCTCACAGGGCTTTTTCTAGACTCAAATCAGCAACGATTACGTGAAGTTCGGTTTGCACCTAAGAGTCGTGCTGGGGGGCCACTTACTGATGAGGAGGCTGGTGTCATCCCAGCCCCCAATGGCTGCCCCCGGTGTGGTGGCCTGGTCGCCGGCCGGGTCACCTGCTTCCTGCTTCCCTGGAAGGTGGAGGCCGGAGGGCGGCTTCTTTATAGGGCTGCCAGGCCCTGTCCGTTCGCGGGAGCTCACGGGGACATCCCTGAGGGCAGACTGAGGACCCCGGCCCAGGGCGTGGGCACAGCAGCACAGCCACGCGTGAGCTGGAGGGGTGGGCCGGGAGTGGGCCGGCTGCGTCCGGTGCCCCAGGTGCCCTCGGGTCCTTCCCCCTGTGGCAGCGTCCGGGAAGCGGCCCTGCCGCGTCTCGTTTCTGGCTGCCCACCTCCCTGAAGCCCGATCCCTGAGTGCCGCCCTGCCCTGGCCCAGCCCTGGAGTCGGCCCGCACATCCCGGGAGGACCTGACCGAACGCCCCGCCGTCCTTCCTCTGGGGGAGGCCTTCTCCACGACAGAACGCCAGGCTCTTCACTGTCCTGCCAGGCTTTCCGGTTTCCACATCCCAGTAAGCTTTTGTGTTTGCCTACAAAGAACCGAGACGTGCCAGTGCTGATCGCCAGCAGGTGTGAAGGCGTTCTCGTCCTGGTCCCGCCACGTGGACAGAGCACGCCAGGTTGTGGGACAGAAGGTAGATGCGGACGGTGCTGTGGCCACTGCACCGGGACCGGCCGGAGAGGAGACTCAGGAGCGGTGGTGTCCCTTCCAGCAGGGCTGGACCTCTGTGCACCGGCCTCCCTGCCCCTGCTCCCGTGTCCCTGCCCAGGCACCAGGTGGCGAGGTGCGAGTGACCCGGAGCTCGTGCGGGGCGCCTGACCCGTCATCACCGGGGACGCTGCAGCATCTGGGAGAGAAGCCAGCAGCCACCGCTCAGCGTGTCTGGCCAGGCCTCAGCGTCCACAGGATCCCTGGGGTGCCCACGCCTCACAGCACGTTCACAGCACGGGCCTCATGTCCCCGGGTCATCCCTTCTTGTGGGCGGAGACTCTGTGGTGCCCGCCACGTGGGAGGAGGTGGCAGCCACCTTGCTGTGCGTCCTGCTCTCCGTGTGCTCCCCCTCCCCCGCTGTACGTGGCCCCCTTCCTCCCCCTCCCCTCCTTCCCGGGGCCTCTCTGTTCCCCCTGGCCCTGGAGGACCGTCACATGCACCTCTGCCCTTTGCCAGCACCCCTATTCCCTGCCGAGGACATTGCCCACACACCCTCCACATGTCCCAGGATCCGTGTGGACAGGTGGGTATGTTCCGGGCTTATGACACATAAAGGTGACTCAAGGGCCTTCTCAGTTACAGGCGTGGGCTCTGAGGTAGGTGGGGCGCTCCTCAGACTGCCGGCTTCCTGGGGCCCGGGCCCGCAGGTCCCCTTGCCTGCCACGTGGGAGGGACCTGACACCATCGGAATGACAGCCAGCACCCCCCGCCGCCAGGGGCGCCTGGGTCCCGAGTGCCCTGAAACGCTTCCCACACGAAGCCTTCCAGGATCTGCCTCTTGGGAAACTCCCCGTGACGTCACAGGCGCCCCACGGTTGGTCACAGTTGACTTCACAGCAGCCTAGGGCGCGGCCACTCGTGCCTTGACACTGAGGAAGTGCCCGGTGTAGTTTTCCAGGGCTTCCCAGTGTCTATTGATTGGAGACCTGATACCACAGGAATTGTGTCTCATTTCGCCGGAGGAACATAGAAAACACATCACTT